AGGCTAGCACGGTTAAAGCAAACTTTGCTAATACAAGAAGGAAGAGGATTTCTTATAGTCTAATAAACAATTCATCATGACCAAATATAATCATTAGGTCTCAATAGCAATTCAACATTTGATTGCATTATTCTGAGAATAGTTAGTAATTATCCATTTGATTGCATTATCCCAGGTTATAGTAGGTGGTCTCTATACCACAGATTTATTAAAAACCCTAACCACGCTAAAGAAATAAAGACAGGGCTGCTTGAATTATTTCTTGTCTTATTGACTTCGTACAACCTCATAAATTGAGGACACCAAGACTACTGAAAAGGTTAGTACCTTTGTTGGGAGGAACGCCACGAGCGTGACGAAACCTCCGCGAAAGTAGAAGAAGTACTGAAGAATGCTGGTTAGTTGCCTGTATTATTATTATATAAATCAAGCCCTCACAGACTCTTTACCACGGGCCTAAATAGTTTAGGCTGTCGATTATTTCTTTTGTCTCTTATTGACTTCGTAAACTTACAAAATTGAGGACAAAACAGACTTTGTACTAAATAAACATTTCGTTGAATGAGATTACCGGACGAACCTCCAAAAGTAGTAGAAGAACGCCCGGCAGTGGTTGGTTGCCCGTATTATTATTATTATAAAAAACTTATTGACTTACCACGGCAGGCAAACAGTTGCTGACGTTTCGCCCCCTTATTGACTTGGTGGCTAACCTCTATAAAATTGAGGACAATTAATAGATCTTGTACTAAGGTTAGGTTAACAGACACTTTGTTGTAAGGAGGATTTTGCCATCGGGAGTGGACGAAACCTCCGCGAAAAGGGTTAATAAGTTAGCCCTGTATAGTTAGTTGCATTATATATAAACCTACAACCGTTGACTTTAACCACTAATAAAACAGTTTAGGCTGCTTGGATTATTTCCTTGTCTCTTATTGACTTCGGTGGCTAACCCTATAAAATTGAGGACACCAATAGACTTTGTACTAAGGTTAGGTTAAACAGACACTTTTGCTGTAATGGAGGATTTCGCCATCGGGGAGCGTGACGAAACCTCCGGCGAAGTAGTGGTTAGGTTAGGCGGCCCGGTAGTGGTTGGTAGTTGCTGTATTATTATTATTATATAAAATTTAAGGTCCCCGTTAGACTTTACACTCAGGCTAAACAGTTTAGGCTGCTTGGATTATTTCTTTGTCTCTTATTGACTTCGGGTGGCTAACCTCTATAAAATTGAGGACACCAATAGACCTTGTACTAAGGTTAGGTTAAACAGACACTTTTGCTGTAATGGAGGATTTCGCCATCGGGAGCGTGACGAAACCTCCGGCGAAAGTAGTGGTTAGGTAGTGGTTGGTTAGTTGCCTGTATTATTATTATTCTATAAAATTTAAGGTCCCCGTTAGACTTTACCACGGTCAGGCTAAACAGTTTAGGCTGCTTGGATTATTTTTTTGTCTCTTATTGACTTCGTGGCTAACCTCTATAAAATTGAGGACACCAATAGACTTTGTACTAAGGTTAGGTTAAACAGACACTTTTGCTGTAATGGAGGATTTCCATCGGGGAGCGTGACGAAACCTCCGGCGAAAGTAGTGGGTAGGTTAGGCGGCCCGGTAGTGGTTGGTTAGTTGCCTGTATTATTATTATTCTATAAAATTTAAGGTCCCCCGTTAGAATTTACCACGGTCAGGCTAGATAGTGGTGGCTGCTTGGATTATTTCTTTGTCTCTTATTGACTTCGGGTGGCTAACCTCTATAAAATTGAGGACACCAATAGACTTTGTACTAAGGTTAGGTTAAACAGACACTTTTGCTGTAATGGAGGATTTCGCCATCGGGGAGCGTGACGAAACCTCCGGCGAAAGTAGTGGTTAGGTTAGGCGGCCCGGTAGTGGTTGGTTAGTTGTCTGTATTATTATTATTATATAAAATTTATGGTCCCCCGTTAGACTTTACCACGGTCAG